TGCTACTCACTCCACTCTCACCAACTGCCTCACTGACATTAAATCATGGATGCAAACCAACTTCCTCAAACTGAACTGTGATAAATCTGACATGATCATCATCGGTCCCAAATCCCTCACTAAAACCAGTCACAACTTCTGCCTCACCATCGACAACTCCACTCTGTCTCCCTCCCCACACATCCGCAACCTCGGAGTCATGTTCGACAGCAACCTCTCCTTTGAACACCACGTCAAACAAATCACCAGAACTGCCTTTTTCCACTTAAAAAACAGCCCGTCTCCACCCATCACTCTCCTCATCTGCTGCTGAAACTCTGATCCACGCCTTCATCACCTCCAGAATTGACTACTGCAACAGCATTCTTCACGGCACATCATCCAAAATCCTAAATAAACTCCAGTACATCCAGAACTCTGCTGCTCGCCTGCTCACCCACACCCGCTCCCGTGACCACATCACCCCTGTTCTCCAGAACCTCCACTGGCTCCCCGTCCCACAACGGATCCAATACAAAATCCTTCTCCTCACTCATAAAGCCCTCCACAATCAGGCCCCCTCCTACCTCACCGACCTGCTTCGCCACCACACTCCATCCTGTCGGCTCCGCTCCTCTGATGCCTCCTGTCTCTTCCACTCAGGACCAAGCACCAGACATGGGGTGACAGAGCCTTCTCCATATCTGCCCCCTCCCTCTGGAACTCTCTCCCCAAACACATCCGAGACTGCACTGACCTCTCCACATTCAAATCTCAGATCAAAACCCACCTGTTCAAAACTGCTTTTAATGTGTGACCGATATTGTGTATTTTTGTTTTTAGTGTGTTGCTTTTATATATGATGATTTTAATGTAAAGTGTCTTTGAGTTTTATGAAAAGCGCTATATAAATAAAATGTATTATTATTATTATTATTAGTATTGATCATGATTTGATATTTGAGTCATTTTGTGGATGATCAGATGGAGTTATGATGGTAGCAGTCGCCCAATTGCAGATTCAGCTTGAGCAAAACCTTTGCCTGTTGTGTTCAAATCAGGCCCATAGGAGTTTACAAGGCAGGCGTCCTTTCTCACAACACTGACCTGATGCATCAAGTGGATATTTGTTGCTGAACACAATATGATGCATTTGCCCTCTACATCCTCTAGTCAGAATGAGCATACTTATAAACGCACTGTTACGACTCCTTCATAGTGTCATATTGCTTTTCGGAGAATTATGATGATAAGTTCATAGTAGATGCAAAAGTATACTTATGTACAATATATTATGTTGAACATTGTTGCTCCTGGATGGATCACAGCCAACCCAATTATTGTCAACACAGCTCCATGTCCTTGGTCATGGTGGCCACAGCACTTAAAAGAATAAACTTCATAATTCTCAAAATTCTGACGCTTTGCTTTTTTATTAACAGCATTTACTTGTACTTTTACTTTTGATACTTAAGTACATTTAATATCAGAAAATTACTTTTGATACTTAAGTACAGTAAATATCAGATACTTTAAGACTTTTACTCAAGTAGTATTTTAATAGGTGACTTTTACTTTTACTGGAGTCATTTGGAGTCAGCTGACAGGTACCGGCAGGCCAGAAGGGCTGCAGCTGCGGTGCTCGCGAATGCTAAAACTCGGGCATGGGAGGAGTTCGGGGAGGCCATGGAGGACTTTCGGTTGGCCTCAAGGAGGTTCTGGCAAACCATCCGACGGCTCAGGAAGGGAAAGCAGGGCTTACCCCAGGCTGTTCTCAGCAGGGGGGGGGAACTGCTGACCCGGACGGGGGACATCGTCGGGCGGTGGAAAGAGCACTTTGAGGAACTCCTAAACCCGACCAACATGTCCTCTGCAGAGGAGGCAGCGCCTGAAGATCTAGGGGGAGGCTCACCCATATCCCTGGCAGAGGCCGCTGAGGTAGTTAAAAAGCTCCTTGGTGGCAAGGCGCCGGGGGTGGATGAGATCCGCCCTGAGATGCTGAAAGCACTGGACATGGTTGGGCTGTCCTGGCTGACAATGTCGCATGGGGGTCGGGATCAGTGCCCATGGACTGGCAGACCGGGGTGGTGGTTCCCATCTTCAAAAAGGGGGGACCACCACCGGGGGTATCACACTACTCAGCCTCCCGGGGAAGGCTTATGCCAGGGTGCTGGAAAGGAGGATCCGACCATTTGTCGAACCTCAGATTCAAGAGGAGCAATGCAGATTCCGTCCCGGCCGTGGAACAGTGGACCAGCTCTTTACCGTCGCAAGACTACTGGAGGGGTTCTGGGAGTTTGCCCAACCAGTCTACATGTGCTTTGTGGCCTTGGAGAAGGATTTCGACCGAGTCCCTCTGGGGTTTTTGTGGGGGGTGCTGCGGGAGTATGGGGTGCCGGACCCGTTGCAATGGGCGATCCGGTCTCTGTACGACTGCAGTAGGAGCTGTGTCCGCATTCTCTGCAATAAGTCAGACACGTTCCCGGTGGGTGTTGGCCTCCGCCAGGGCTGCCCTTTGTCACCGGTCCTGTTCGTGACTTTCACGGACAGGATATCTAGGCGCAGCATGGGGGCGGAGAACGTCAGTCTCGGGGGTCTCGGGATCGCCTCTCTGCTGTTTGCAGATGATGTGGTCCTGTTAGCCTCCTCGGATCGTGACCTCCAGCATTCACTGGGGCGGTTTGCAGCCGAGTGTGAAGCTGCGGGGATGAGAGTTAGCACCTCCAAATCTGAGGCCATGGTGCTCTGCCGGAAACCGGTGGATTGCTCCCTCCAGGTGGGGACGGAGTGGATGGAGTCGAGCCGCTACTCCTTCGCGTCGAAAGGAGTCAGCTGAGGTGGTTCGGGCATCTAATTAGGATGCCTCCTGGATGCCTCCCACTGGAGGTTTTCCAGGCACGTCCAACTGGAAAGAGACCCCGGGGAAGACCCAGAACACACTGGAGGGATTACATCACCTAGCTGGTCTGGGAACGCCTCGGGATCCCCCAGAATGAGATGGAACATGTTGCCGGTGAGAGGGAAGTCTGGGTCAGCCTGCTTGGCCTGCTGCCACCGCGATCCGACCCCGGATAAGCGGTGGAAAATGGATGGATGGATGGATGGAGTCATTTTCCAGTAAGGTATCTTTACTTTTACTCAAGTATTGCTTTTGGGTACTTTATACACCACTGAATGAGACATATCATGACATAATGAGACATATGAATGTAATGAGACATATCATGACATATTGAGACATATCATGAACATAATAAGACATATTGAGACATATGAACATAAAAGACACCCCCAAACGCCGGGCCGCGGACCGGTACCAGGCCGCACAGAAAGAATAAATATTATATTATTTCCGTTTTATTGATTATCAGAGTCTGAAAGAAGTTTTATTTTGAAAAATGACCGGATTCTCTCGCAATTTCATCAGCCTCGTTGCAGAGAAACAATCTCAGGGCTCCCACTGATTCAGCGTTATTGTCAGTTGTATTTATTTACGCATTTTATATTTGTTTTCATTTTATTTCGTCGTGTTTTTCCGCCACACCTTGAATGCCGGTCCGTGAAAATATTGTCTTACATGAAACCGGTCCGTGGTGCAAAAAAGGTTGGAGACCACTGCCTTAAAGGGCATTATCCTGCTTCTTCCATGGTCACTTAAGAACTTTCATTCATAATGTGTTTCACAACAAAATATATGTGGTTAGTTTTTTTGTTCCTAATACCTGGAACAATCATAAGCATCGCATGATGTTCTGATGCAATGTTGTTGTTGTTCAGTGCCCCAGTAAATAGCACGGACCTTAGATACAACTTGGCGAAGTTAGATATTTCTATACTTTTCCGCATATAGAAACCTTTAGTTTATATATGGAAAAGCTAATGTTATGCTAGCAAGATTCAAGAAGTCAGTAACAAACAGTAAATATAATTTGACAGCCTGTTAAACAAGTCTAGCTAGCTTTTAGCCATGTCGTCATCTCCAAATCAATATCAATACTCTTACTAAATCGTAATTAGCGCAACACAAGCATAAAGCTAACGTTATGCTAGCAACATTGAAGGTAAATAACAAACAGTAAATATAATTTAGACGTGTCGTCTCCAAATCCAAATCAATGTTTGTACTAAATCTTAATTAGCGCAACACTAGCATAAAGCTAACGTTATGCTAGCAAGATTCTACGACAATAACAAACAGTATATACAATTGTATAGTATGTTTAACAACAATACTAGCTAGCTATTAGCCATGTCGTCTCCAAGTAGAGGGTTGAATAGTGAATGTGATAACGATCTCTTCCTGTGTCAGTGAGTTAATAGTAACTGTATTTTCCCCTCTGGATGAATGAAGTTCAGGCCATGACTCATGTGTCATGCACCCCCATGTGTCGGAAGTATAACCCTACCACCCCCACCACCACCCCCACTTCCTGCTCCTGTCAGACGGAGGTCATGATTCCCCTGTAGCTCCTGGCTCGGTATATTTCCTGGTGACGGAGGTGACTAATGACAGCTGATATTTATGATGCCAGTTCTTAAAGATGATGGTGATCTGAGGAGAGACGAGTCTTGGTTTCATAGTCTGATAATAATCAAACACAACTTCACCTCTGACATCACTGCGTGATTCACCTTGGTGAGCGCAGTGGCGTGCGTCCCCCCGCTCGCCGGCGCGCTGGTGGCCTGCACGTACAGGTACTCGTTGTCTATGAGAGTATCTGCAACAGTTCTAACTTTCAACACGTGTGTTGAACTTGACCGTGTTACATCACGTGTCCAGTTTACCTGCTGATAAACACAGAGGAACAGGATGTGAATATATAGACCGTGAGAATATATGTCCTCCAGCTCTGAAGGCTTTGAAGCTCACAATAACTTTATCAGGAAAGCAAAAGACTTTTTGTGCTCCGCTTTCAGCCGGCGGAACATTTTCAGATGTGACAATAAAAAACAAAAACAGAAACAGATCAGGTTCAAACTCTTTAACATTCAGACTTTTATTATTAGTTTACATCTTTTCATCTGATACAAAAGAGCTTCAGCAGCTCTGATCCAGGATCAGGTCCAGGCCCAGGGTTAAAGTCTCTGAACCGGCCATGTTGGACCTGCTGCAGTCACATGACACACGCTGTGTTAGAGTGACATCATCGTCCAGTTCAACAGAGCTCCGTGGTCAGAGCTCCCAGCATGCCGAGCAGCAGCAGCAGTGGTGCTCGGTGTTGCTCGGCAGCGGCGACCGGCTGCAGGTGAACTCTCTGCGCGTCAGAGATCATGTTTCTAGCGTCCTGTAGCGCGTTGACAGCAGCCGCACTGGAGTTCAGGTCTCCGCTGGTGATCAGGTCGAACACGCAGGCCTGGTAGTAGACGTCTCTGGCGGGAAGCAATGCGGCGCAGTGAGCCCGAGCGCCGGTGGCGGAGTACGAGTCCGGCGGCGGCGAGGGCGGCTGCGGTGGGCGGAGCGTGTTGAGCATCTGGGAGGCGGGGCATCCCCACACGCACAGCTGCAGGTCCTGCTCGGGCCCGAAGGCCCCCACCACGCCGCGCGGCGAGCGGACCGACAGGCCGAGCGAACGTCCGCTCTGACGCACCACCAGCAGAGTGCCGATGTGAGCCGCTCGGATCTCTGCGTGTCGCCCGGGGCTCTGAGTCCGGACCGTCAGGCTGCGGTGACCTCGCCGCTCGCCGCTCGACACCGAGCCATCGGCGAATGCGGCGGGGACGTTGTCGAGCTCTGCCTGGTACAGCTGCTGATCGATGCACTGACGCCAGTTCTTAAAGATGATGGTGATCTGAGGAGAGACGAGTCTTGGTTTCATAGTCTGATAATAATCAAACACAACTTCACCTCTGACATCACTGCGTGACTCACCTTGGTGAGCGCAGTGGCGTGCGTCCCCCCTCTCGCCGGCGCGCTGGTGGCCTGCACGTACAGGTACTCGTTGTCTATGAGAGGCCACGCCCCCCGCACTGCACACGTCTGGAAGTCGTTGTAGAAGGTCCGGACGTGCGGGTCTCCGAACACACCGCAGTGCAGGTACTCGGGCGCCTGGCCCTCTCTAGTGAGGAGGCTCCTCTCGTAGAGGCAGGCGTCCCCCGACAGCGTGCCCTGAGGTGGGGGCCGCGGCTGGGCGGTGGGTCCGGCCCGCGGGCATCGGTGCTGGATCAGCAGGTCCTCGATGCCCTGAACCGCCGAGTGGTACGCCAGGTCGCCACGACACGCCCGCGCCATCCGCCTGGTGCACATGGCGTAGGAGCGCAGGGCACTGCAGTAACCTCCTCCTCCTCCTCCTGCTGCTCCACCTCCTCCTCCTGCTCCGCCTCCTCCTCCTGCTGCTCCACCTCCTCCTCCTGCTCCACCTCCTCCTCCTGCTGCTCCTCCTCCTCCGCCTCCTCCTCCTCCTCCGGCGCTGCTCCCAAGGTCCAACGTCGCAGCCACAAAGTCAGAGTTACACCTCAGGATCCGACAGGAAGCTTCCACTGAAGAAAGGAAATGTTCAAACGTCGTCACCCCTGATGACGTCACAGTGATGTCATCACAGTACATTTTGGATCTCGTGTGTTAAAAATATTTTATTTCAGCGTCTGTAGTGACGAACTCTTTAAATGTCAAGTTTCTGATGATTTTATTCGTCAATAATCTGTTAGCTGGTTGTTGGAGTGACACAAATTATAACGCGCATATTTTTCAGTGTTTTCTAATCTTTGTTTTCACTCCCCACAAATGGATGAATGGAGAACATAAGCAGCAGATTAAAGGATAACGATGCGCTGATGAAACTCTGGACATGTAGGATCCAGTGTTTCTGTGAGTTCAAAGAAAGGCTATGAGACAAAAGCCTTTAGCCTTTAGCCACGCAATGCTAACATGATAGCATCACATTTTACCTTCAGGTGAACTCAGCTGGACCAGCAGCAGAGTCAGGTGGATGCAGTGTGTCCATGGTAACACCGTGGCCCGAGGCTCCATCAGCAGAGAGACACCAGAGCAGACAGACAGGTGATGATGTCACTATCACATGGACCCTGAGAGACAG